ACAAAGTTAGACAGGCCTTGGAATGCAAGATCCTTCATCAGATCACCCAAAATATGTCTTGCATTGGAAAGCTGTCTAACTGTTCCAAGCATGCAGTTGGTCCAGTAAAAGATATGACTGCTCCCTCCCCACAAAATCCTTGCCTCGTTAATATATATTTTGCATTACAGCAATACCTACAGTGCCTAGCTGAGATCAGGTCTATATTGTGCTATATATCTACATAGAAACTTAGCAACAATACAAAAAAGACAGTGGGCAAGAGAAAGGAAATATCATGCCTGTGTGCCTCAGTTCCCCATGTGATTAACAGCCTGTCCCAATACGGAAGCACTGAGGGCGCATCTACTCAAAACATTTACGGCACAGTCGACTAATTAACTGTGCAGTAATACCTCAGCATCTACACGTGCACCCCTATTAGGGCACACAAAACAAATAAATTGCACAGCAGCGTAGTACTTGTAAAAGAAAGAAGTATTTACAAGTACTAACCTGCTATGGGGTTTTTTCAGGCACAGCAGTGCATGTGTAGATGCTGACTGGCTGGCTAGGGCACAAGGGTGCCTCAGTGCTGGAGCTGCCTGCCAGCTAGCCCCACACTGGTGCACCCTTGTGCCCTAACCAGCTGCTCTGCAGCGCAATGATCCCAGTCAGAGCAGCCGTGGGCTAGTAGGGGGACTGCCCAGGCCTCGTTCCAGCTGGACCTGCTGTGATCCAGGCACACGTGCAGATGAGCACCTGGGAGCTTCCTGGGAGCAATAAACTGCAGAGCAATAAACTCCACAGTTTATTGCTGTCCCCTAATGCACCCTGAGACTCCTATCCAAGACTAAGAGGGAGTTGTGGATGGGGGTATAAGATCTGGCTCTTTTTGGAGCAGTCACAAAAACCCAATTCAGATGGGGCTCGGGGCAAATCAAGTTTGGGGAGAGCCTTGTACAAAGGAAATGGGGGGAGGGGGCACTGGAAAAATAGAAAAGGGCGCAAAGCCTTAGCATCCTCAAGCATGAGAAGAGGCAGAGGAGGGGAGACACAAGGGAGATTTTTATGGCAGGGTGTGGCAGGCCCCCCCCATGCCTCTGATTGGCCATGGGGCCCCAGATGTTCCACCCCTCCCCAGAGATTGATAGATGGCCACCTGGCCCCAGAAGTCCTGCCCCTCCCCAATGATTAACAGATGGCCATCTGTCCATCTCCAGGGCCCCTCGACCAATCAGAGCTGGGGGGGGTACCACACTGCCACAAAATCGGTGCCTGGCACTGTGCCAGGACTGTGAAATCTGGAGGTAGCTGCCGTGAATTAGAAAGGACCCTACTCATAAGTGGTAATGGACTTAAAGAGTATATTTTTTCACAAGCAATGATATTCAAGCCGTGTCTAGACTACAAATCTACTGCGTTTGGCAGAGTGCCCCCAAACATGCCCCGCTGTGATGTGTGCCTGACCCCCTCACCAGAAGCAGCACAGCCCGAAGGACAGGTTGCTAACCATGCTGTGACAGTGCATCGCTGCTTCCAGAGCAGGGCCGCGCCTGCAGAGAAGCGCGGTGTGTCTGCGGGTGCTGTTGCCAGACACAGTAAATTTGCAGTTTAGACATGGCCTTACTGAACTAAACCTTTGCCTCTGGTTTTCCAAGGCCTGATTACTCTCTCACACTGAAGAAAGCTCATGGGGATGGTGGGGCAGGGGTCCCTCTGTGGAGTTCTCTTTATTGGTATTTCCCCAAGTTGTTGTGCAGGGCGATGTGGGGGCTGCCCACCAACGAGCCAACTCTTCTGCCAGAACCGGTTGCATGAAAGCAACAGAAAACTCGAGGTACTTCTTCATCACTGCAAGAACCCTCTCTCCCCCAGCTCCTAGGCCACAGCTGGGGGATTTTCCAGAGCCTATGAAAAGACCGTGGAAAAGTTCAAGTTATTTGTATTTAGATTGTCATGAAAACATTTCTTACCCAGTGCCTGACCCCACAGATGGAAGTGAAAGGCCACATTTGCAATCCTCTTTTTTTCTCCCCCCAGTTTATACGATTGCGACAAGTGGAAAAATATAAGCCTTCAGTCATTCCAGTGCAAACATTGTGAAACCAAGTGGTTTACATAGTAACAGCCAAAGGTTAAATTCACATATTTTACTGCTGACTTCACTAGTTTTAACCTTTGAAGCTCAGATGTGAAAAATCTTTTGCTTTTCCACATAAGGTAAATAGGAAAAGGCAGACTACAGCTTTTGAGATTATACTGGGACATTAAAAAAAGCAATATCATTCTCATTTAAGGTGCTGCACAATTGCTTTGTGCCTTACAGGGTAGTGACACAAACTTTTGCTGAATAAGTTCTCTCTCTCAGCCCCATCCCTCAATTCCAGTAAGGGGAATGAACAAGGCTTTGCCCCCCATCTACCAAACGTTTAATTACAAATTTTTTGCTTGTTTCATAGGTGCCTGAAATTCCATGATGGTCTCCCATCCAGCCACTAAGCCAGGACCACAACTGCTTAACTTCCCAGAACAGATGAGATCAGGTTAATTTGTTGAACACACATACTTGCTTCCATGTCTTCTAAAAGTATCAGATAAGCAAAGACACCTGCACTTCTTCCCCATCTACAAGGACCATCATTCAGGGATCTGTTTTATAGCTGCGTTGGTCTGAGACAAGAAGTACAAAACTCTCAAACTCTCGGTTCAGAGATGATACCTTTTATTAGACCAATTAGAATATAGCAACAAAAAAAATCTTTTTTTGCAAGCTTTCAGGCACATGCGCCCTTCTTCAGGCTGACACCTCCCTGCCTTTCTGCTATCTGACCACCAGGGAAGAGAAACTGTCTTATCTGCACATAAAAAAAAATTCATACAAAAGGACCCTCACAGACCCAGAGGAACATACTTCCATGTTCAGCCTTCTTTATGTAAAAGGAAGTTTATTTTCTTCCTAAAGGGTCTTTTACCATCTTTCATTTCCCCACAGCCTGAAGAAGGGTGTGTGCACCTGAAAGCTTGCAAAGAAAAATATTTTTTTTTTGCTATTTTCTAGTTGGTCTAATAGGTATCACACCTCTGAATCAAGGGTTTTAGAGTTTTGTATTTCTTCAAGGACTATCATGGCATTTGGCTATCTAACTAGATGGCAGATGTGATCTACTCATCGCTTTTGGCCTTAGAACTTAAGAAACAACTGCTACATCCCCGTCTTCCTCCAGCACAGGTGAAGTGAAGAATAGAACTGGAACTGGAAATAAATATCAGCCCCAGCAAACCATTCCCCAATACTGCTCTCAAGATTTCACTAAGAGATAGGTGAGGGCAAAGTTGCCCATGGGAACGGCTGAGGAAACGCCCACAAAGCTGCCAATGAAGAGCTAAAGGAAGTTATGGATGCTGGAGGCCATTTTTTGTTAGAGAATAGATACATTCCTCCCTCGAGTTAGCCAGCATCCTAGTAAGAAGACATATGGTTTATCAAACCGAGACAACAGCAAGGGGGAGCTTAGGCTTTACCGTGACTCTTAGAGAAAAATGCAAATTGCCTCAGCTCACGAGTATTTTACCTTACCTTAGGAACCTCAAGTTGAAGTATTTTTCCCTAATCAAGACAAGGCCTGAGCATAAATGAACATCCATGGGATGGCCAGTGAAGAAGGGGTATCGTCCTGAGGGGCTCCCTATGTCATGTAGGAAGGGGAGGGAGCACTGTAGAAGTAGGTGGTAGACATGGTCAAATGATTTTGTATCCCATGTTCTCCACCAAAGCTTGCTGTTCAGAACATCCAAGACCATGCTTAGTTTGGGTGTAACCACCTCGACTGGCGTTTTACTCTCAGAAGCATCATACCCCTATTAAATCAAAAGAAACTCTGCGAGTTGTACAGATTTTCAGAGGTCCTGCCCTGCAGTCTGGCACTGTGGGAATCCTTGGCCCCACCTTTGATCCCCAAGTATTGTTCCAGGCACTTTGCTCCTGTGGGACCCGTTCTGGGCACACACACATCATTGCCTCCTGCTCAAAGACTATTTTCATTGCACAAATGTTAGTATTTTCAGCAAATGATCAATTAGAGAAACAAAAGGGGAGCTCTGAGCTATGAATAGGAACACATTTGCATCTGTTCTGCTCTTGTCAAGTGTCACCTTGTACTTCCTAAGGGGTCTGGAACCTCCCTTTGATGCCTGTACATAAATGGGAGCTGCACACACATATCAAGTGGAGAATTAGACCCCCTGTGGTGATAACAAAGCCACTCAACATTGCTTTGCAGCTTCTCAGGCCCTATGACAATGCTTTTGACAAGAGAAGAGATGCAGAAGCACATCCGCTGATGCAGTAGATAGCATATGTCAACATCGGTGCTTTCCATGTTTATGAAGAATTTGATTGAATAAAGGGCTAGGCAATAAACTACATGAGTGAGTCCAGATTGCAGCACGCAGATCCATCACAGGCCTTTCTTTCCCTGGAGTCTTACACTTCACCAAACTGGTGACATGTATTAAGTACCGCACACTGTCTAACATGCAAACTAAGCAAAGGTTTTATTTCCTTTGAACTGTTATACTTCCCCCATTGATGATGTTCCCTTTAGGGTCCCCCAAGTCCACTGGATTTCCATGTATGCACATGTCTCTGCTCCTTCTGCGATCTCAGCATGGATAAACGAACCAGAGATATTAAAATGTAATTTGTTCAGATCTTTGCCTTCAGGGTGAGCGCTAAGATGCTGCCATCAGCCAGAAAATTTGTGATCTAATTTAGAGGCAGTGAGGCATGATGCCTTTTCTCTGAGGCTTTGGAAAACAGAGCCAGGTTCTCACTTTAATATGGTCTAGTAAAAGATTTATTTTCTTTTTCTTTTCAGCATTTTGCATTGCAGAGCACCAGCCTAACATGTGAACAAACGTACGCTGCAGCGAGCAGTTTGCCCAGAAGATCAGCCACAGCCACAGCCAGGACAGCAATTGCTATGTTTTGGTTACGAGCTTGCATGTAGCATCTCATCAAGCTGTCTCCGGTGCTGTTTGTGCTTGCAGTTCTTACGCTGAACCAAAAAGGGGGAAGAGGGGCTATTTTGATTCATTTCTGCCACCAGCTGGCCTGTTCAGCATTTCTATGATTTTCTATGCTCTTCTTCAGAGCTCGTAATTGGAAGGGATGGAAAAGGCTTGAAGTGCCTTAGTTTGATTTTGTTGCAAAGAAGCATCCATTGCACAGTTGTCTCTCCAAAAAAAATCCAGACCCTGTCATGCTCAAAATCTCACAAAAAACCAGAGCCGGCTCAGCCAGAACCAAGCTTGAGCTGCTGGCC